ACCCTCGTTACAGTGTCGGGGAGGCTTTGTTCCTCCTCTCAGTGGGGATGTGAGGGACTGGCAGAGGTGCAGAAAACTCTGGCATGGGGATGAGCCCCCCTGCCCCTGGAGGGAAGACCCTGACACTCGAGCTGGCCCTGGGGCCCTGGTGTCATCCCTGTGGGAACAGCCTGTGTGCCTTCACAGCATGGGCTTGTTTACGGCATCGGTGCTATTTTCTGCCCTTGTATGAGCAGCAATCTCAGATGGGAGTGCAGGGATGGTGCTGGGCTCCGTGGTGCCAGCAGCCAGTCTCCATCCTGTTCCTCTTCCTTTCTCCAGCGCTCCCAGCAGCTGAAGCGTGGAGCGTGGCTGGCCCCAGCACCATGCCGCTTGAAGTCCGGGATGCCCATGAACATTGGGGTCCTCTTTGTGCCGCAGCAGGAGGCTTGGGTGGTGGAGAGGATGGGCAAGTTCCACCGAATCCTTGAGCCTGTAAGGAGCTGCTTTTCTCCCCTAATGGATTCAACAGGTTCCTAAAGCTGTAGCAAGGTGCATCCTTTGCGCAAGGATCTGGGGAGTGGTGTGCTTATTCTTCTAGGTTGCAATCCTTTTAGCTGTAGACTAATTTCCCTCGATAGGGTGTTAAAAGCACTGAGAAATATAAATTCCCCCCTATGTGTAAAGCATGTTTGCTCTGCCCGCAATATCTAGACTATTTGGTCTTTGTTTGCACAGCTCTCTCTAGTCTGGCTGAGGTCTCTGGGGGTAAGACCCCAGGTTAGAGGGCACAGCCACCTATTCCCACCATTTTTCCAGGGTTTGAACTTCCTCATCCCTCTGCTGGATCGGGTTCGTTATGTGCAGAGTCTCAAAGAGATCGTCATCAACGTCCCAGAGCAGTCAGCTGTCACCTTAGGTAAGGAACAGCATCCACATCCTGCCTCTTTCCTTCCGCTGCATCCAGGCTGAGCAAGGGACAGCGCAGGGAGGAGTGGAAGTGTCTGAGGCTGCTGCGCTCAGCCCTGTCCCTGGAGACCTGGTCTTGGCTGTGCTCCTGGTGCTGTGAGCAGGAGAGCCCCAGGAGGTCCTCTCTGCCCTCTTGGGGCTGCGGCTGCCCCTTCTTGCTGGCTTGAACACACCTGGGCAGGTGTCTGTTTTTCAGGTGTTTTCCTG